GGGGGGTCAACTGGCCAGCCAGCCAGTTTGGAGTCATCAGATTGGAGTCATACGAGGAGAAAAGGTGATGTCGTGATCTTCACAATAAAACATCTTTGATGTGACGAGTCTTGGCCAATCAGCGTTCAGATGTCTACAGCGTCTTCATTTTCCTCCGTTACAGTTTAAGTTCCGTTATGTTCCGTTACCGTTCAGACTTGCTGGGTTAACGTCCACTGCATGCAAAACTTTATCGACTGTTAACATTCGTCATTATCGCGATTTGGGAAGACAAAAACGTAATGTTATGAAACATGCAGCTACCCGTGTTCCGGTTCAGTTCACGCGGTCTGCTGGCAGGTTGTTTTTTTTTTTTAAACTCAAAGTAGAATGAGGCGATTTCGTGATGATAATAACGTTTAAGATAACAAAACATGAGGCTCAGATACTGATGAGATCCATCCATCCATCCATTTTCCTCCGCTTATCCGGGGTCGGGTCGCGGTGGCAACAGGCCAAGCAGGCTGACCCAGACTTCCCTCTCACCGGCAACATTTTCCAGCTCATTCTGGAGGATCCCGAGGCGTTCCCAGGCCAGCTGGGAGATGTAATCCCTCTTCCCAGTTGGACGTGCCTGGAAAACCTCCAGTGGGAGGCGTCCAGGAGGCATCCTAATTAGATGCCTGAACCACCTCAGCTGACTCCTTTTGACGCGAAGGAGTAGCGGCTCGACTCCAAGCTCCCTCCGGATGACCGAGCTCCTTACCCTATCTCTAAGGCTGAGCCCGGCCACCCTACAGAGGAAGCTCATTTCGGCCGCTTGTAACCGCGACCTTGTCCTTTCGGTCACGACCCAGAGTTCGTGACCATAGGTGAGGGTAGGAACGTAGACCGAGTGGTAAATTGAGAGCTTTGCCTTCAGGCTCAGCTCCCTCTTCACCAAGACGGTCCGGTGCAGCGCCTGCTTTACTGCTGCAGCCGCACCGATCCGTCTGTCGATCTCCCGCTCCATCTTACCCTCACTCGTGAACAAGACCCCAAGATACTTGAACTCCTTCGCTTGAGGTAGGCACTCCGTCCCCACCTGGAGGGAGCAATCCACCAGTTTCCGGCAGAGCACCATGGCCTCAGATTTGGAGGTGCTAACTCTCATCCCCGCAGCTTCACACTCGGCTGCAAACCGCCCCAGTGAATGCTGGAGGTCACGATCCGAGGAGGCTAACAGGACCACATCATCTGCAAACAGCAGAGAGGCGATCCCGAGACCCCCGAACCTGACGTTCTCCACCCCCAGGCTGCGCCTAGATATCCTGTCCATGAAAGTCACGAACAGGACCGGAGACAAAGGGCAGCCCTGGCGGAGGCCAACACCCACCGGGAACGTGTCTGACTTATTGCCGAGAATGCGGACACAGCTCCTACTGCAGTCGTACAGAGACCGGATCGCCCGTTGTAATGGGTCCGGCACCCCATACTCCCGCAGCACCCCCCACAAGAACCCCCGAGGGACCCGGTCGAAAGCCTTCTCCAAGTCCACAAAGCACATGTAGACTGGTTGGGCAAACTCCCAGAACCCCTCCAGTAGTCTTGCGAGGGTAAAGAGCTGGTCCACTGTTCCACGG